AGCCATACTCTCTTTGTGAGTCTAGAGAACATGGTAGCTGCTTTTCAAATGCGTTTATCCAGCTCGACATCTAGGTAGGGAGTGTCAGAGATTGTTGAGCCAAGGTACACAAAGTCATGAACAACCTCCAATTCTTGTGTGGATATGATAATAGAGGGAGGTGAGTCCATGCCCTGGCCCATGACTTGTGTTTTCTTCAGGCTGATTGTTAGTCCAAAGTCTTGGCAGGCCTTGCTAAAACAATTCATGAGTTGTTGGAGGTCTTCAGCAGAGTGGGCAACAATGGCTGCATCATCGGCGAAGAGGACGTCCCGCATGCATTTCAGTTGGACTTTGGTCTTTGCTCTCAGTCTAGAGAGATTAAAGAGCTTTCCAGAGATAGATACCTTCTGTTGCAGTTCCAAAAACGTTCTTCAGCATGACAGCAAAAATGATCCCAAACAGGGTCAGCGCGAGGACACAGCCCTGTTTCACTCTGCTTCGGATGTCAAAGGGATCTGATGTTGAGCCATCAAAAACTACGGTGCCCTTCATTCCCTCATGAAAGGACCTGATGATGCTGAGGATTCGAGGTGGACATCCAATCTTGGGAAGTACTGTAGTTTTAAAAGGCCATCCCTGCTAACCAGATCAAAGGGCTTTGTGAGATCTATGAAGGCCACAAAGAGTGGCTGTTGTTGTTCCCTACTTTTCTCCTGCAACTGTCAGAGGGAGAATACCATGTCAGTGGTGAATCTATTAGCTCGGAATCCATACTGTGATTCTGGATATACTCTATCTGCAAGCACATGGTACAACACAGGCAAGCAGTTTCCTACAATGGTGAGAAGAGAGATGCCAGGTAGGTGCCCATCTCTTTTGTTCTTATACAATGTGACAATGTTTGCATCCTTCATGTCCTGTGGTACTCACCTTCCCTCCAGCAAAGACGAAAGACTTCATACAGTTCGGTGGTGATGATCTCTTTACAGCACTTCAATACAGATGTTATCCTTCCCAAGTGCCTTGCCGGAGGCAAGGGAATCCAAGGCCACTTTTATTTCTGCTGAAGTTGGTTCGCTGTCCAACTCTTCCAAGACAGGCAGACACTCAATGTTATTCAGTGCTTCTTGGGTTACTACATCCTCTCTGGAATATAGCTCATAGTAGTGCTGCACCAAGTGGTCCATCTGCTGTGCTCGGTCCTGGATGATCACACCTGTAGCAGACTTCAGGGGAGCAGATTTCTTCTGTATAGGACCTAAAGCCTGCTTGAGACCATCATACATTCCCTTGATGTTACCTGTGTCCGCTGCTATCTGTATCTGAGAGCAGAACTAAAGTCAATAGTCATTGGAACATCTCCAGGCTGCCTGTTGGACTCGTGCTACTATTCCTACATTTCCTGGTCATTAGCTGTGCTAGCTGAAGCTGATATAAACTGGAGCTCAATGACATCTGAAGAGCTATAGATTCTTACAGAACGTAAGAATAGCCCTGCTGGATCAGGCCAAAGGCCCATTTAGTCCAGCTTCCTGTATCTCACAGTGGCCCCACCAGATGCCTCTGGGAATACACAAGACAATTAGATATCTGTCTCCTGATATCTCTCCCCTGCATCTGGTGGTTGTTGTTGTTGTTTAGTCATTAAGTTGTATCTGACTCTTCATGACCTCGTGGACCAGAGCACACCAGGCCCTCCTGTCTTCCACTACCTCCCAGAGTTTGGTCAAGTTCATGTTGGTAGCTTCAATGACACTGTCCAACCATCTCGTTCCCTGTAGTCCCCTTCTCCTCTTGCCTTCACACTTTCCCAACATCAGGGTAATTTCTGGGGAGTCTTCTCTTCTCATGAGATGGCCAAAGTATTGGAGCCTCAGCTTCAGGATCTGTCCTTCCAACCCTTCCAGGGTTGATGTCCTTCAAAATGGATAGGTTTGTTCTCTTTGCAGTCCAGGGGATTTTCAAGAGTCTCCTCCAGCACCACAATTCAAAAGCATCAATTCTTCGGCGGTCAGCCTTCTTTATGGTCCAGCTCTCACTTCCATACATCACTACTGGAAAATCCATAGCTTTGACTATGTGGACCTTTGTCAGTAAGGTGATGTATCTCCGATGTCCTTCAAAATGGATAGGTTTGTTCTCTTTGCAGTCCAGGGGATTTTCAAGAGTCTCCTCCAGCACCACAATTCAAAAGCATCAATTCTTCGGCGGTCAGCCTTCTTTATGGTCCAGCTCTCACTTCCATACATCACTACTGGAAAATCCATAGCTTTGACTATGTGGACCTTTGTCAGTAAGGTGATGTATCTCCTGCTATCTAGGTTTGCCATCACTTTCCTCCCAAGAAGCAGGTGTCTTTTAATTTAGTGGCTGCTGTCACCATCTGCAGTGATCATGGAGCCCAAGAAAGTGAAATATGTCCCTGCCTCCATATTTTCCACTTCTGTTTGCTAGGAGGTGATGGGACCAGTGGCCATGATCTTAGTTTTTTTGATGTTGAGCTTCAGACCACTTTATTTTTCACTCTCTTCTTTCACCCTCACTAAGAGGTTCTTTAATTCCTCCTCACTTTCTGCCATCAGAGTAGTGTCATCTGCATATCTGAGGTTGTTGATATTTCTTCTGGCAATCTTAATTCCAGTTTGGGGTTCATACAGTCTTGCCTTTCGCATTATGTATTCTGCATATAAATTAAATAAGCAGGGAGAAAATATACAGCCTTGTCGGACTCCTTTGCCAATTTTGAACCAGTTATTACATATCCAGTTCTAACTGTTGCTTCCTGTCCCACATATGGATTTCTTAGTAGATAGATAAGGTGGTCAGGCACTCCCGTTTCTTTAAGAATCTGACATAGTTTGTTGTGGTCCACACAGTCAAAGGCTTTTGCGTAGTCAATGAAGCAAATGTTTTTCTGGAACTCTCTGGCTTTCTCCATAATCCAGTGCATGTTAGCAATTTGGTCTTTGCTTGCAGACAGAGTTCCTCTGCCCCTTCAAAATCCAGCTTGTACTTCTGGGAGTTCTCGGTCCACATACTGCTGAAGCCTACCTTGTAGGATTTTGAGCATAACCTTGCTAGTGTGTGAAATGAGTGCAATTGTACAGTAGTTGGAGCATTCTTTGGTACTGCCTTTCTTTGGGATTGGGATGTAGACTGATCCTTTCCAATCCTCTGGCCACTGCTGAGTTTTCCAAACTTGCTGGCATATTGAGTGTAGCACCTAACAGTGTCATCTTTTAAGATTTTAAATAGTTCAACTGGAATGCCATCACCTTCACTGGCCTTGTTGTTAGCCATGCTTTCTAAGGCCCACTTGACTTGACTCTACAGGATGTCTGGCTCAAGGTCAGCAACCACGCATTTGGAGGTACCTTCCTTTTAAGCTTGGAGATTATACATCCTCATCATGGTTTGTAACCTGCCATGAATTTTTCCTCCAGGAATTTGCCCAATCCCCTTTTAAAGGCATCTAGGCCAGATGCCATCACCACATCCTATAGCAAGGAGCTCCACAACTAACAACACATTGAGTAAAGAAATGTTTTCTTTTGTCTATTCTCACTTTCCAACACTCAGTTTAAGTGGATGTCCCCTGATTCTGGTATTGCGTGAGGGGGAGAGAGCTTCCCTCTATCCACCTCATCCATCCCCTGTATAATTTTATACATCTCAATCATAACCCCCCTCAGGCACCTTTTCTCTAGAATAAAGAGCCCCAAACACTGTAGCCTTTCCTCATAAGGGAGGAGCCCCAGCCCAGTCATCATTTTAGTCATTCTCTTCTGCACCTTTTCTAGTTCCACTATGTCTTTTTAAAGGTGCAGCGACCAGAACTGTACACAATATTCGAGGTGCTTCAGTCCACTTCTACTTTTTATAGCTGTAAAATATTTACAAATGGAGCTTAAAATGGACAGTACACACTATCTGTACCCTGTTATGTTATGGAACAACATGGCTACCTGCAATTTTCTTTATATTGGAAAATACTGAATTTAGCAGTTCAAAAAGAGAATCCTAGAACTTGAGTAAGACAATGTTCTGTTATCTAATGATGGCTACTTGGGACTAGGGGGTACACACAATATACCTCTAATCACTAGATAATACTATCTGTTTGGTTCTCATTGGCTCTTTGTCTATCACACCAGCTAAACTTTATTTCTGTTAATGTTAATATATTTGTGTGTTTTTTTACAACACCAAGCAGGAGGCAGCCTGGTTAAATCTGTACAAGACCTCCTGCATTCCATGTTCAGACGTTGGGGCTTTTTTGGTCATGCTCTGAAACATCTCTTTCTCTTTCCATGCTCTTTCAGATAGGGGGAGATTTCTTTCATCATGTTATATAATCCTGAAAACAAGCATTGCTGAAAAGTGGCATATAAATCTTTAAACAAAACTTTTTTTTGTTTTTGTTTTCTTTAGTGTAACTGAAGATCTAGCTTAAAACTGAGATCTGGAGAACTAAAAAAAAAAATAGTTTTTAAACCTCAGTTTAACAATACTAATTTGTACATGTACCTCAATATATTACTGCTGTCCCTGTTACATGATTTGAGTACAACTTAACAGGTAGGGGTTTGATCAGCAACGGAGAATGTCTGAACTTACAAATGTTGTTGGCCTGCAACTTTCATTAGCCCTGTCCAGCACAGCCAGAGATGAGGGATGATGGTTCTTGTAATGAAACACGATTTGGAGGGCTGCATTTCATCATCCTTCGTTCTGTTCTTAAAATACATTTTACCCTGATTTGCTGTTATCGAAGTGACCTTAGAAAGCATTCAGGACTACCTGCTTTGTGGTTAACAGAAAGTTTCAGACGTTGGGAGGATCTTTATCCACGCTGATACTATGATGATGATGACAAGAGCAGAAATAATGAGGAGGAGGATATCCACCGTCGGGGCAGAGCTTTCCTGGTTTCTAATTCCAATTCGCCGAGGCTGGGGTGGGTGTGACGCTCGCGACTGCCCCGGGCCAGCTGGGCTGGGAAAGGGCGGGCCATGCGCTGAGCGAAGAGAGCAAAGTTCCCCAAATCGCCGGGCTGCCTCCGTCAGAAACCCAACACACAGGACTCAGCTAAGCATGGCCCGGTATGAAGACGACGGCGCCGGCGCCCCCTCCTCCTCTTCCAGATGCTGCCGGTGGCGGTACTGCTTGTGGGGGCTTTTCTTTCTCTGGGCCATACCGAGAACTGGAGCAGGTGAGGGGGATCCAGACGCTGGACTGGAGAGTTACGGGAAAGAGCTCTCCCGGCTCGTGTGCGCGCCCATCCGCCAAGAGACTCACCCTGAGGTACCCCCAGGAGGGTGGGGACAGGCAGGCTGCTTTGGAAGAAAAGCAGGGGCCTCACTTGGTAGCAGAGCGCGCGGAAGGCTCCGGCGAAGCAGGACGACGTCCTCTCCTGAGGGTGTGCGCGCGCGCGCGCTTGCAAACCCAGACAGATCCTCATCTCCTCAGGCGCTCTGCATTCCCTCACGTAGCCTTATCGACTTTCTCGCGTTTCCTTCCCCCTGAACTTCTTGGGGATAACGACGTTAAACCTCGGCTCCCACCTTCTTTTTTAGACTTGTCATGGCCAAGTAAGAGATCGCCTTTTAAAAAGAAGGCGTCTAACCTTTGTTCAGAAGAGATGCGACCCATTCATTGAACGTTGAAGAGTTCTATACTTCAAAAGCAAACAGTGTTCTAGAGCAATGGAGGCGGGTTCCATCTTTCCCCATTGCCCGGGAAGCATCACGTTATGACATTCAATAGGTTGTAGGAAGCTGTTTCGTTGCAAAAGGAGGGTCACTTTGTATATGAATGATTTTTTAAAAAAATCTTAAAGTGAAACACACACACCCATAGTAACCCTGTCATAGAGTGAAAGGAGAAGTTTCCTGGGGCACTACATTAATTGAAAAACACCACAGACAGAAGAAAGATACAACCAGGAGTTAGAGTGGCCTTTGGCTAGATGGGTGGTATTGAAATCGAATAAATAAATAAATGTAAGTTTTAGGATACAGCATGAAAGCATGTCTGTACCGAATGTTGAACAAATCTTACCATCCACATCTAAGTTTGCAAAAACAAATTAGGAGCTGTTGCCTTCTGGATCATCTTTTTCATGTACAGTACTTTTGCAAAATAGTGTGTATGGAGGAAGAGTCTCTTGGTTTCATGGTTATCACCTGCTTTGAATGGAAACTGGTTTCATAGCACATTGCTAACACATGGCTTTACAAAAGTGCTTGTAGGCTTATAATATAATTTATAATTACGTACATGGCATATGTATATGGCTGGAATCAGATGATTGCACAGTCTGCAGTTCATGAATCACATGACTGCATAATCTGCAACTATGGTGAATGCTGAAAGAGAGGCGATGGCAACCATTCAAAAAGCACTTGATCATGTAAGTGTGCTTCATGTACTCCCTCATTTGTAAACATACCACGTGAGTTGGTTTGTGTGCAGAATTAGCATGCGAGCAATCAGTGGCCCAAGCAGATGTACTGTTCATGCACTAATTGTATATGTCAATAGGACAATTTCCACAGTAATTTCATTTGTATGTGATTTATACACAACCTGTTTATACAGCCAGAAACTTATTTACTAACTCCATTACAGTATGTCTGCACAACCATTCTCAACCTTTTTTGGCCACAACCATAAACACAATATGAAAGAAATACAGGCCGAATTAGGACAGTGTAAGTTGCAAAATAAACCTTATAAAGTGGTGCATGAAGAATTGTTTCCAATCTGTGGACCCCTTCAAATGTGCCAGTTTCCTCCAGAGGGCCATATGTCACCTGTTGAGAATGAATACCTAGGGCACTTACCTTAGGCGTCAGTCTTATGTATACTTGTGAATATGCCTCATTGATCTTGGTAGGATTTTCTTCCACTAGATACCAAGATGATTTTATTACTATTTTTTGTGTTTGAACTTCATATACACTTGGGATGATTTTAAGAAATGTAGTAGAACCTTTTTGTTAAGACAGTTCCCAGTCTACAACTTGAAAGTATTATATACTGTCTTAACCATTGTTTGAGTGAAAAAGCAGAATGTCTTTATGTGACCTTAAGAGCTTCCGATTTATGCTGACCCTATGAATTAATTCTCTCTGGAAGATCATATAATTAACAAGTCTGCTCAGGCCTTGCAAGTTAGATGCCCTGGCTTCTTTTATTTAGTCAAACCATTTAGTCTAAGACTTTCCTATTTTCCTGTTGTCTTCTACTTTTCATAGCATTGTTGTCTTTTCCAGTGAGTTTTCTTCTTGTGGTACTGTATATCCAAAGCCTCGGTTTAGTCATTGGAGGTTACTTGGCCCCAAAGGATTAATACAATTAAAGGACAATTTTAGCACTTTGAAATGCACATGGAAGTGAATAAACTGCCAATGCAATTCCTGCAGAATAGGCGCAATGAAATATAGATGCTTAGGCTGTTTGAGCATCCAAGCTGCTGAATTTCGCATTGGATGAAGCTTCCAAAACATCTTCAAAGACAGCCACACAAAGTGCATTACAGTAGTGGCTTTACAACAGGTTGGCTCTGTTTAAATGGGCTAATTAAAAGTTAGAATTTGCAAGCAAAGCAGAACAATTCTGCAAGTCTGCTATTCTTCCTTTTGGTTACATATGCATAAGGCTACAATCTATGACTTAAAGATGAACGCAGTTCCTGGTCAGAATTGAAGGTATAGAATTTTAAAACTAGAGCTTGTAAAAATCGATTCTTTACTGGCCAGGTGATTTTGGAAGTTGTAGCTGAAGAGCTGTTACTTGTCTTTGCTTCTGTAGAAAGCAAAGGAGAGTAAACAGGAAGGCCTCACTTGTAGCCCTAATAAAAACAGAAATATAAGCAAAATGGGCAAGAGTGTAATCATTTAAAAAATCATTATTCATTTCTCAAGACAACTAAGATCTTGAGAAAAAGTGAATTAATGTCATATTTTAATTTGGGGCTGGTATTTTTGTGGCAGAAAATGAAACAGGTAGTTTTGTGCAAGTACTGTGGTTTTGGTTACTTACTGATTTAGATATTGTTTTCATTTTAATAATAGCGGATGTGAAACCATTTAGTTCCTTTATTATCATAGCTTTTGGCTAACTATACATATGCTCCAGTGCATCTTTAGTCCTTAAATGTCATTTCCCAATTGTGTACCATTCATGAATTCATTCAGTTCTTGTTTTGGCCTCCCCAAAGGATCCTATTGAATTAGAAGGCTCCAGGTCGTACCCCATCAATATAAATATATATATTTTGATGGGGTACGACCTGGAGCCTTCTAATTCATACTATTAAGCATATATATACTATTAATATGTCACCTGTTGAGAATGAATACCTAGGGCACTTACCTTAGGCGTCAGTCTTATGTATACTTGTGAATATGCCTCATTGATCTTGGTAGGATTTTCTTCCACTAGATACCAAGATGATTTTATTACTATTTTTTGTGTTTGAACCTCATATACACTTGGGATGATTTTAAGAAATGTAGTAGAACCTTTTTGTTAAGACAGTTCCCAGTCTACAACTTGAAAGTATTATATACTGTCTTAACCATTGTTTGAGTGAAAAAGCAGAATGTCTTTATGTGACCTTAAGAGCTTCCGATTTATGCTGACCCTATGAATTAATTCTCTCTGGAAGATCATATAATTAACAAGTCTGCTCAGGCCTTGCAAGTTAGATGCCCTGGCTTCTTTTATTTAGTCAAACCATTTAGTCTAAGACTTTCCTATTTTCCTGTTGTCTTCTACTTTTCATAGCATTGTTGTCTTTTCCAGTGAGTTTTCTTCTTGTGGTACTGTATATCCAAAGCCTCGGTTTAGTCATTGGAGGTTACTTGGCCCCAAAGGATTAATACAATTAAAGGACAATTTTAGCACTTTGAAATGCACATGGAAGTGAATAAACTGCCAATGCAATTCCTGCAGAATAGGCGCAATGAAATATAGATGCTTAGGCTGTTTGAGCATCCAAGCTGCTGAATTTCGCATTGGATGAAGCTTCCAAAACATCTTCAAAGACAGCCACACAAAGTGCATTACAGTAGTGGCTTTACAACAGGTTGGCTCTGTTTAAATGGGCTAATTAAAAGTTAGAATTTGCAAGCAAAGCAGAACAATTCTGCAAGTCTGCTATTCTTCCTTTTGGTTACATATGCATAAGGCTACAATCTATGACTTAAAGATGAACGCAGTTCCTGGTCAGAATTGAAGGTATAGAATTTTAAAACTAGAGCTTGTAAAAATCGATTCTTTACTGGCCAGGTGATTTTGGAAGTTGTAGCTGAAGAGCTGTTACTTGTCTTTGCTTCTGTAGAAAGCAAAGGAGAGTAAACAGGAAGGCCTCACTTGTAGCCCTAATAAAAACAGAAATATAAGCAAAATGGGCAAGAGTGTAATCATTTAAAAAATCATTATTCATTTCTCAAGACAACTAAGATCTTGAGAAAAAGTGAATTAATGTCATATTTTAATTTGGGGCTGGTATTTTTGTGGCAGAAAATGAAACAGGTAGTTTTGTGCAAGTACTGTGGTTTTGGTTACTTACTGATTTAGATATTGTTTTCATTTTAATAATAGCGGATGTGAAACCATTTAGTTCCTTTATTATCATAGCTTTTGGCTAACTATACATATGCTCCAGTGCATCTTTAGTCCTTAAATGTCATTTCCCAATTGTGTACCATTCATGAATTCATTCAGTTCTTGTTTTGGCCTCCCCAAAGGATCCTATTGAATTAGAAGGCTCCAGGTCGTACCCCATCAATATAAATATATATATTTTGATGGGGTACGACCTGGAGCCTTCTAATTCATACTATTAAGCATATATATACTATTAGGATCCTTTGGCCTCTATGCATCTCTTTACCCAATTTGAATAATTTCCCCCCCAAGCTATTTGCTGACTGCTTTAGTTAATCTCCCTAAATAATCTGATGTCATCAGCAAACATGGTCATCTCACTGTTTATCAAACTCCAGAGTGATTTGTAAACAGTTTTAGAAATAGGTCTTTGAGAAACCCAATTATTTACATCCCTGCAAGAACTGATTTTTCCTACTTTATGTTCCCTAGCTATTACTAAGCAGGAGCCTTTGGTAACAGACTTTTCAAAAACCTTTTGCAAGTACAGGTAAACAACATCTACTGTTCACATAGTTATCAACTGCGGATGGACAGTTATTACAGATTGATATTCAAGCCTTCTCTAAAATCTGTTGGAATGAATTTATGAGGAACAGCAATAAGACAATTCTTTATTACTTTCTTTTCCCGGGAGCACCATTTGAAGTACAGTAGGAGAAGCTTGTCTCTCTATATAAGCACCCTTGTGAAAAGTTCGCCCCCCCCCAGCCCATACACTTCATATTATCTATTCATATCTTCTTCTGTCTTCCTCGCCATGTATTATTTCTCAGACCTTGGTTGGTCATAGCCAGGAGACATGAACATGTCATATTTTTCTCATCAAAAGTACATTGAGAAGGCACAGTGTTGGTTTGTACACCTCATTGCTGGCAATTGAGGAACAAGAGTAAGCCAAGAGTGCTGACCTTAGAAAGTCTGGCATCTGAAATTAAAAGCCATAATTACACTTGTGTATGCTTGATTTTGAAACCATCATGTACAAAAATAGGAATCGGGTGAGCGAATTGGCACTAGTGCTAAAGCAACTGCTTTATGAGAAGGCTGATCTTCAAGGCATAAATGTATCATACCCCCTCCCCCAGCATCATATTCTATCCATTTAAAGAAACTTTTAAACATTCTTAAAATACAGTGCTAGTTTATGAACACACAACTCCAAATTCTTTTAGATGACTAAAGAAAATTTTCATTTTTGTTCTGCTAGCAATGAAAGACTGAGCAACCCAAGCTTTCCAAGAGAGGAATAAGTTCTTATATAAGCTTTTGAAATACTTTGGTGATTAGACTAAATTTGTTGTAACAAAAACATTCTAGGGATCTATATATACTATTAACAGAGAATCACATTAGAGCTGTTTCTAGATTTATAGCACCATCTGGTTTGGTTATATACCCGACCTTGGGTAACCAAGGTATAATTGGACTGCAGTTCCCAGAAGCCTTCACCACCAGCTGTGCTGGCCAGTGTTTCTGGGACTTACAGTGCACAAACACCTGAGTTACCCAAGGTTACCCACTTTTACAGGGGATCAGTTTCACTTGATGCTGTCTTAGGATGTAGGTGAAAGTTCATGGAGCAGTTAGTCCTTGTTCATAACTATTTACACCAAGTCAGAGATGGGTTGAATGGATGAATCTAGGAGGTGGTTAATGCTTCTTCGCCCATGGTCTCTTGCCCCTTTGAAGGAGCTGTTGGTGCAGCCATTCCTTAAACCCATTTAAAGCCAATAAATTTATGACTTAAAGTCATTCATAGCTTTCAGAAGAATTGGAAGCTGGAGTTTGTGCAGTGTCTGGTCTGTTTAAATAATGTTTTGAAAGCAAAGATTACGCTATTGTTTCTTTGCTTAAGAACATCCTTCTTACTCTTTATTTGATAATAATTGTATGAACAGATTATCTCTTTCTTGATATCCTACTATGTAATTTTCATATGTAAACAGAAAGCTGCTTCCTCCTTCTCCAGTGGTATTGCAGCCTTCTGTCTTTGAGACGTATCACCTTGAATAAAATTCACTTATCTATGTAGTCATTTAGAAGTAAGCACACAGTGGCTTGTTCCCATATAAGTATGCATAGAATTGCATTTTTATTTGTATTCCTGAAATCTCCATGCAGCTATGTATCTTTTCATTAGAATGGACCTCTAGCAACAATGTAAAAAATCCTGCGTTGTGGGAATCACTCTTACTTACAATGATAATGTTTCTCTCAGCCACATAGTGATTTGTCAGCAGCCTTTAATTCAACAAAAAGTTACATGTAATTAAAAAATTAAGGTGAAAGACAGCTTTCCTGCAATATAGTTTCTGTTTACTGAATGTGTAAATGGAGAATAATGGGTGGTGTATCCTCCTATACCTCATGAAGAACTCAGGAGAGACCTCATATAACCTGGAACTACCGTCTATTTGATAAGACTTTTGAACAAAAGTCAAAATTGGGACAACAGCTCATGAGTGGATATTTTTACAGTACTGCCCATATAACTGTGGTACAGTACTTTTTTATTTTTGCCATGATTGTACTTGTTTTTTATACCAAAATTTTTAAAAGGATGTCCATAACCTTGGTAATCATAGATTGAAAAGCTGTAGAAGAGGTAACCATGTTAGTCTGTGCAAGCATATCAGGTAACAAAGAAAATTTAAAAAAAAATTCCTTTGTTTTTTGTCTGACAGATTGAAAAGCCACTGACAAAGATAGTAGAACTTTGTCATTAAAGGGTCATGCATTGTTCATTTAATTCAGGGGGAAACTTGATGGGGTTTTACACTGGCTGGTGAAAAAGGAGGACATATTAATAGGTATTTTGTTATTTTAAAAACACACTCGTCAAGCTGACATAACATCCATGCAATTCCTTGAGTAAGTGGTGGTTTTACATGCTGCAACAACCAATTATATCTGCAGTTAGAGAGGAATGTGAGTTCTTTTTCAGCGTTTTTGGAACCCAGATATCAAGTCTTCGACTGTTGCAAGTTAGCAGTGGGCATGTTTTATTTTTGTGACCAATCAGGGTATGATTTGCAGGTCCCTTAATTCTGCTGTGATTGACTGTATTTCCACTTCAGTGTTTGTATTTGCATTTCTGAAGCCACAGTAGTTCATTAAGAAAAAGTGAAAAGCAATCAGTTGTAAAAGAAAAGAGTAACATCAACATTGTCAGGCCGAAAAAGGAAAGAAAAATAAAAAATAAAGACAACAACATTATGGCACCGTAAAAGACTAACTGCAATATTTTAATGTGAGCTTTTGTGGACAAGTCCACTTCCTCAGACCTGAGTGGGACTACATGGCAAATATTTATACATCAGAGTGTTGGTTCTCTATGTGTGGTTCAACATGTGCAATGTAGGCATCCTTCAGTCTCAAGAGACTATGGTAAGGTGCTCTGAATAGAGGTCTTGGAACAGTGTCTAGTGTGGCTGAGAAAGCAAATTTGAGAGTGACAATCCCTTCCACACTGAAGAAAAATACAGTCTGTCCCCTGTCCAGTGATCTGATGTTGAGCCGTTAAAAACTACAGTGTCCTTCATTTCCTCATGAAAGGACCTGATGATGTTAAGGAGTCGAGGTGGACTTCCAGTCTTGGGAAGTATTTTAAATATGCCGTCCCTGCTAACCAAATCAAGTGCCTTTGTAAGATCTATGAAGGCCACAAAGAATGGCTGTCGTTGTTCCCTACATTTCTCCTGCAACTGTCTGAGAAATACCATGTCAGTGGTGGATCTATTAACTCAAAATCCACATTGGGATTCTGGATAGACTCTGTCTGCAAGCAGCTGGAGCCTCTTCTGTACACGGGCAAGCAACTTCGCTACAACGCTGAGAAGAGAGATGCCACGGTAGTTATTGCAGTCGCCCCTGTAACCTTTGTTCTTGTAAAATGGGACAATGTTTGCATCCTTCATGTCCTGTGGTATTCCACTTTTCCTCCAGCAAAAACAGAAGATTTCATGCAGCTCAGTGGTGATGATCTCTTTACAACACTTTGGCACATCAGCAGGGATGGTATCCTTCCCAGGTGCCTTGCCGAAGGCAAGGGAATCCAAGGCCACTTTTATTTCTGCTAAAGCTGGTTCACTGTCCAATTCTTCCAAGACAGGCAGGCACTCAATGTTCTTTAATGCCTCTTCGGTTACTACATTCCCTCTGGAATGTAGCTCAGAGTAGTGCTGCATCCAGTGTTCCATTTGCTGTGCTCAGTCCTGGATGATCATGCCTGTAGCAGACTTCAAAGGAGCAGATTTCTTCTGAATTGGACTTAAAGCCTGCTTGCTACCATCATACATTCCCTCGATGTTATCTGTGTCTGCTACTGTCTGTATCTAAGAGAAGAGCTGAAGCCAATAATCGTTGGAACATCTCTTGGCGGCCTTTTGGACTTTGCTATGAGCAACTCGAAGAACCTGCAAGTTGTACTCACTAGGACAGGCTTTGTATACTGCTAGAGCTCTCCTCTTTTCCTTGATGGCTGCATCAACTCCTCCGAATGGGCTTCAAACCAGTCTGCCGTCTTTTTGGTCTTCTTGCCAAATGTGGACAAAGAGGCATTATAAACAACATTCTTGAAATGCTCCCATCATTCAGGTGCATTTGCAACAGCCGGGTCTGGAAGAGTTTTCTCAAGCGCTTGGACAAATTCCTCCAATTTTCTCTGATCACGAGTCTTGCTGATGTCAATACATGGTCTTCCTTCCTTTTTCGTGTGATACAATCTCCTTATTCACAGTTTGACACTACTACACACCAGGGAGTGATCATTATATCAATCAGCAAGAGTACTTCTCTTGCTTGTCATGTATTTGTGTAATTTATTTATTTAATGAATTCAAAATATTTTCAGTACAGTATTCTAACCCTCACATTTTCTCATTGTTATCATGCAGATATTCATTATGCAACTGTGTACTGGCTGACAGCAGAAAAGTCCTTCCAGATTAAAGACGTGTTGGACAAAAATGGTGATGCTTATGGCTACTACAATGACACTGTACAGTCTACAGGATGGGGAATTCTGGAGATCAAGGCAGGCTATGGTAGCCAGACCCTAAGCAATGAGAACCTCATGTATGCTGCCGGTTTCCTGGAGGGATATCTCACTGCTTCGTAAGTGCTTTTATAAATTTAATTGAGTGAATGATGATCCACTATTAAAAATCAGTATCCATATAATTATTTTCTTTTTAGATCTTGCTACTATACAAGAGGATTATAATACTATTCATTGTTGCCTGGAAATGTCTCTGAAATGTTTTAAAGACCTTTTTCATTACCTCTTAAATAAAGGTTGTGAAAAGCGGCCAACATTACAGAATATTTGCCAATATGCAACTAAAGTTAGTTCATTGTTCAAATTAGAAGCAAATTATTTATTTATTCCATTTAATTTATATCTCTCCTTACTTCTAGTTCAGGGAGCTAAGGCAGCTTGTATAATGGTCTGTTTCAGGAAGAGAATATTACATAAATTAAAATATTTAAAGTTTTGTGAAGTCTAGGATAATGTTAAAACACTATTAAACTTAAAACATTAAAAAAAAAAACAAGAAATGAACCATACATACATCAGAAACACTTTGAAAGGAAGGAAGAAAAGAACAGGATCCCTCATCCCTCTGTAGCTAAATCATTGGCTTAAAGATTGACTGAATAGGATAGTCTTTGCTGATGGTAGGACAGGATGGAGTGGACCAGCCTAGCCTTTTGAGAAAGAGAATTCCATTATTTGGAAGCAGTGCTTAAAATGGACTTTTCTCAAATCTTCATCAGATGTGCCTCTGAAGGTGTCAGGACTGAGAGAAGGACCTGCCTTGAAGAGCTTAAACTGAAGGGAAACACATATGGGATATGCAATTAGTTAACAGATATACAAGCCCAGTTATATTCTCTCCCTAACTGCACATGGTCAACAGCCTGGATGCAACATTTTGGACCAGCCAGTTTCCAAATGCTCTTTAAAGGCAGTCATATGGAGAACTTGTTACAGTAGACGTTGTCTAGAGGGGCGAGGTAATAAATAAATAAATAAATAAAATTTAAGCTCAGGGTTGTATCTAGGGAGACATTCATGCTCCAAACCTGAGTTTTCAGGGTAAGCATATGAACATCCTGCACAGGTTGAATCCTTCTTTCCTGACTTGCTTTTCAACAGATAAGTAGCACCTCTGTCTTGTCTGGACTAAGATTCAGTTTGTTCACTCTCATCTAGTACATTACTGACCTCGGATACTGGTTTGGAACCAAATAAGTCTCCTTGGAGTTAGATGGAAAGGAGATGTAGTTAGTGTTATTAAAATTCTGGTAGCATTAAACCATAAAACTCTGGACAACTTCTCATAGCAGGTTCACGTATAGATTTAATAGCATACTTCTAAATCCTAAGGGATCCCATAGACCAAGACATCAAACAGGCATTCTGAGATTGTCTCTTCAAGAAGGGGGAATTAAGGCAATCTTTTATCTTTGTCTTTCATTTGAATTTTACAAATGGACTTTCAGTTTTTGAAATGTGGCTATATGTGATTTTAAAAAATCTTAAAATGTAATCTAAAGTATTACTAATGTAACTTTGGTGGAACTTATATTCCATGATGGAATAAAGTTTCTGGCAATAAATCTAAGATTCCTTAATTGAAAAGAAGACACTTTAAATTGATTATATATATATATTTCTGCCACTTTTTGTAAATACTGCATAGTTTAAGTTTAAAGAAAGTTGACAGGATGGTGTGTGTAGATATCTCTGGTAAGTACTTGTTACTAATATTGTGTTTATTTTAATTAAAAAGTTTAATTATTTTAATTAAACAACTCTTGTACTCAAGAGTTGAAAGATAACAGCTAAGGATGTATTGACATTAACTGACCATTAGTTATTATACTAGAGCACAATGCTAATCTCATTTGATCATATTTAAGTAGCATGAGTGTCAGGAGACTGGGCAAAATCCTGTTGGTGTAACTTTGTGCTATGTTACTTTGATCAGGCACTGAAAATATTTAATGTGCACTAATTAAAATTTCCTATCCCCCTGTTTTCTGAGGCTTCCTAGGGCTCCCTTTTGTCCTGGGGAAGCCTCTGGAACCTTGAAAGATGGGTGGGAACAGCCTTTAAAAGTAAAAGGTTGCTGCTGGATTGCCACAGCAAAGATGAGTACCACAAATGGCAGTCAGATGATAGGAAGCCCATTTTTTGAAAATTATGTCAACAGGATTTTCCCTTTTGATGTCTTATAATTTTTATCCAATTTGCCCAATTGCTTTTAAGTTCATAATATATGAAAAGGAAATCTTTTCCTCGAACAGCACTAGGCACTGTCAAATATGTTAGCTTCAATTTTTGTAATGTTCACATTTTTGAAGAAGAGTTTTTTCCATCCTGTTTTCCACAACAGTTTAGGCTATTTTGCTTTAAAAATCTTCATGAACATTTCTATGGATTTTTTTGGTATAGATCTCTTCCAATATGCACAAATTTGCATATAATTTTCCCTAATTTATACATTTTTACAAATAGTTTATTCTAATATGTGTTTTCCGTGTGTATTCCCACATCTATACATATTTTTGACTAGACTACACATTGTGGACAGGCATGAAAACTGAAGGGTTTTGCTTCAGGATTGTTTCAGAAGTGTTAAATTAGTTTGGTTTTTAGTTAAACTGCATATCTTTAAGAAGTACAGACACATCAGCCAGAATTTCAAAAGTGTTAAATTACATTGATTTTAATTAAACTGCATATCTTTAAAAAGTAGAGACATCGACCAGAATTGTGTTGACATTTGTATAAATTTTGTGCACCATGCTGTGGTTAATTGCAGCTATTTTACAAGATGTCAGCAGTCACCTCAGTCACATGCCTGGTCATGTGCCCAACTGTACACCAAGAGGCACCTTGCCAATTAGCCACAAGTAGCCAAGGCAATTTATGAAAATGTCAATAGAATTCTGGGATGGTGCTGGTGTCTAGATATTTTCTACCATTCCTCACTGTATAGTTTATTTTCTTCATTAAAGGACAGTTTACAGTTACTGAACAAAGCAATTTAACTATTCTTTGTTCTTTTCCTTGCACCAGAATTGCACAACTATCTGTATAATAAATCAATGACTCTAGATGACTATGCTCTCTGCCTATATTTATGATACTGAGGAGGAACAGAAAGTGAGCAAAAAAGTAACATTTGCCTCTTTTCTTCAGACATATGTGTGACCATCTTGCAAACCTTTATCCGCAGATGATTAAAAATATCCTCATTGAAAGCGAAGTAAAAAATTTTATGAGGTATGTACTCTGTAATGAAAAATGTTTCCTTTTAATTAGTCCTGGATGAATAAGCACAATGGTAGCGTACCATTCAGATATATCCAAATATATTTGCATCTTTTTACTAAACCAGCTAATATATGAAAAGTTTATGGCATTATGCCATAGCCCCCTAGCCTCTGTGGCCACTGGCTTGCTAGCTTAAAGAGTTAGGAAGCTGTAGTCTTAAAACACAACTTTTTAACCTTTGAAAGTCATACAGAGTATTTACTGGTGGAAGCCCAAGTTCTGCAATGATGTGTATGAAAAACATCCTCTAAAGTGAAATGTGTTTCTATGCAGGAAACAAGATCAGTGGACAAGACAACAAATCAGAAACAACAAGGATGACCCCTTCTGGAGACATGCTGGATACATTATTGCCCAGCTGGATGGGTTGTACATGGGAACTCTGGAGTGGGCTAAACGAGAACAGAAAACAGTAAGATTCCTTACATTGTCTTTAAATCATTTAGAGTAGAAGAGTAAGAATTCCAACCAGGAAAGACCATATGTGAATGACTGCTGTGTCACCACAGAGAAGATCCATTTACCACTCACACTACCTTTGTGCTACCTGGTGTGGTTGCTTGCCAGGCGGGTCAGTGTACTAGTGATTGGGAAAGCTTCCTGTGAGTCTTTAGAAAACTTAAAACCTACAAAAATACCCAGCAGACTTCCAAGAACATTTAAAATAAGCCACACTTATGCCTCCAATTTTACTTCCAATCTTCTCACAGAAGAAAGATGCTGAGACAATGGAGGAAGTAAAATACTTGAGAATTATTCAGAATCAGATATGTGATGCTGCTAAACACATTTATTGGACTTGTGCATTTCTGCTAGTACATTCAGTGGATAGGCATAACAGTTTCATCAACACTCAGTCTCCAGTGTTTGGATAATGGAAACGTACAAATGCCTCTTCTCTTTAAGTGTTGCTGTTGTATGTGTTTGTACTGTAAAGTTGTATAATTGTTACGTTTAACTGGAGACAGATGATTCACCTCTCCAAGAAACGTTGCAATCCTTTGTCCTGCCTCCCAGTGGCTTTTTTTAGCATTCTACCATTTTAGTGAATGCTTTCCCCATAATTGTATGCATGATAGTACATGTAGAGTACCTCAAACTCTTGAAGAGATCAAGAAAAATCTAAGTAATTGTATTCCTGTGAAAAAAGGGTTAAATCCTAATTAGGGATACATTTAGGCACTTTGAAATCATTATGAAAAGCTACAATGCAGTCTGTATCTTTCTACTCTGAGATAAGTCTCTTTGAGTTCAGTTGGACTTACTTGTAGGTGAATGGATATAGGAATAGGAAGTAAATGCTAGCACCAATTCCATGTGCATCCAATCCATCTTCTGGAATGTGTTTTGAAATGGAGGGGGAGGGAAGAGAAACTTAAGAATAGTGGTGCTACTTGTGTATTGCCCCATAGTGCTTAAAGCATTATCTGGACAGTTTATAAGTTTACAATGTTTACAATGCAGTTTACAATGCAGGCTACACATTGCCCCCACCCTTCAGTGAGCTGGGTACTCAGTTTACCAACCTTGGATGGATGGAAGGCTGAGTCAATCTTGAACTGGCTACCTGGGATTGAACCCTGGGTTATCAGTACAGTTTTTGGCTGCAGTACAGCAGTTTGACCATTGCACCATGAGGCTCAAGAGGTACATTTTTAAACATACTGTATCTTTGCTGTTCAAACAGTCAGATTTCCCCCATCATCTCAGTCATAGCCATCTCTTTTCTCTCCTTCATTTTTTCATCTGACGTTAACTCTGCTTGCTTTGCATCAAAATCAGAAGTGGGTTTGCTGGTGACCAGTAGCAGCAACTGGCCAAACACAGACAACAATATTTTTTTCAGACCTTTTAGCTCTGTCAGTACTAATGTACTCTTATTTTCTGCACTTTGCTTGTCAATATAGTATTTTAAAGGACTGCATGAAATGGGTAATTCATTTAGTCTCTCTAGCATTCTAGGAAGACAGAGTAAAAAGACTAATTCCATATGACATAAAGCAGAATCACGCCCAGGAGTAATATCCAGTATGTTACTTTTCCTGCCATATTCTGGGTTACTTTATATGTGGAGTGTAAATTGTATACATGTTCTGAGCTCCATCTGGAACATGTGACAGAGTCCCATAAGCTGTTTTCAATTCATTCTTTGTTTGATGTCTCACAATGTAAGCTCTGGGCAATATCACCTTTACTTGTGTTTAGGGGACCATATGCCCATAGAAACAAATGTCTATCCAATCTGTGTATTTGCCAGGTCAATTTGTGTTGCAACAATTCATGCTTGACAGATCCTATAGCTACACACAGAATGCTGTTTAGTCAAGCGACTGTTCAGATACCTACCTTTGTCTTATAAATATATTTTAATCCTCTGACAATTTTGTAAGAATTTGAAACCTTTCTTGTACATTGTCAAGAATGTACTGCTGTGTGATGACGTATGTATTTTAGGGTTTTAGCAGAATTGGATATTGAAGGAATTATTTTTTATCTTCTTTCTATTTTTGTAAGGTAATTGATTTGAATAATTAGCACCTTTAAAGTATTATATATACATGAAAAGTTGAATGTACTTGGGTTTAAAGGTATTCCTAGCTAGAAGGGGTTAGGATCTGTGGTAAGAAGTGGTTACCTGTTCAAGTCTTGGTGAAGATTTAGTTTTGGGGCATCTGAACCCAGATTTAACTGCTCAAAACAGCAGCAGCAGCAGCAGCAGCAGCAGCAGCAACAGCAACAGCAACAGCAACAACAAACAACAACAACAACAACATGACCTTTATAAATAATGTAGAGGCCATAAAGATGATTATCATGTTCTATTTAAAAATGTATAAAGAGAGAGATAATAACAATGATTTGCACTTCTGTCTACTGAAGTCCAAGTACTAATGAATTTATCCTCATAATGTTCCTGCATTTCCCAGTATAACAACAATATGAATATATTTCAGATGGCAAACTTACAAAATCGAATTAAAAAGGTGCAGATATGCTGTTATATATGCACGTTCATACCTAAATATATAGGAAATTCAACATCTAAACAACTAGGATACTTTAACTGCACTGGTTGCTTCTTAAATCCATTGGTGGTGGTAGTAAGTAAGTAAGTAAGTAAGTAAGTAAGTAAGTAAGTAAGTAAGTAAGTAAGTAAGTAAGTAAGTAACACTACTACTACTACTACTACTACTACTACTACTAATAATAATAATAATACTAATACTAATACTAATAATAATACTAATAATAATAATACTACTAATAATAATAATAATAATAATAATAATAATAATAATAATAATAATAATAATTCCAGTGTGGGAAATCTCTCAAAAACCAACCTAAAAAAATTTCCCAATATCGGAAGGGGGATTGAGCTTTATTCACAGATGCCTCTGGAGCAAGATAGAGATTTTGAGGCTTATAGAAAGATGATGTATTCCTGATTTGGGATTAATTCAGAGTACCTCAGAAGGAAATTTAGATCAATTTCAAAGAAACCTGAGGAGTCTTTTCCCCAACTTGGGGCATGTTTGACGTAGCATCTCAATAAATGGCTGGAACAGGAACATGTCTTTATTTTAGACCATATGAAAAATGTGTTTGGGGTAGAACAATTTTATTCAATTTTGCCAGGGGAATTGCTTTATCTGGTCAAGGACAAAGATCCTAAAAATGTGCTACAGGGCTCTGAATATGCTGATTCTATTTGTAAGATCAGAGATCCTCGATTTTGTGAGGTAAAAACTGACAGAAAAGAATGGGACAACAGCAGGAGATCATCCCAATCCAGTGAAAATTACTTCAGACAGAATCAAGCTAAGGGATGCCATTTTAAAGTGAAACCCTCATTCCCGGAGCACAGTCCCCTGAAATCAAATAGTTCTGAGGGGAAAACTACTAAATCCCCTTTCCCAGAGCATAGGAGGAATAAGAAATGTTTTTCCTGTGGAAAGAGGGACATTTTTTTTGCCTAGTGTGAAATGCGAAAGAATAAAAATTACATTCAGCCTAAAAAGGTTTTTGCTTGCAGCATAATTTTGCTTTTTTAAAAATTTTATTTATATCCCGCCTATCTAGCCACTTAATGGCACTCTAGGCGGCTTACAGCTTGCGTTATAATAAGTTGCAGCAATCGGGAGTTGAAGTACCAGCAGCCAGCACTATTGCTAAGGAAACGGACTTGGCAGAGAACCCAGGAATTCCTGAAGCCAGAGTGTTACAATGTTTTTATCCAGTGCAATCAAGATTTACTGGATAACTCTGGGGGAACTATTTTTATTGACAACATAAAATATTTAGGTTTAAAATATATATGTTCCCAGATTACTATTTGTTACTCAGACCTCATTCCTAAAGAAAAAAATGTTAGAGGTTATCACCCTCAAAGGCATTAGCTTAGGCCCTGTGGTTCTGCCAGTGGTTAGGGTAGCAGTGAAATACCATAGGTGGTCTGGTATATGAAAAGTAGCAGTGTCAGACCAAATCCCAACTATTTGTTTGAATGGTTTAGATCTAGTCTGGTATATGCAGAGTGTTTTAATAGTAGCCCGGTCTCAGGGCAGGCAGATTGAAAAATCTGAGGGAAGTGCTGAAACTCTTGTTGAAAGACCCACTTTAGGTGAACATCTTGAAATGAGAGAGACAGCTGATTTAGTGCTAATGAAAAATCCTAATAGTTCTTCCTTCGATAAGGAGCAGAAGGAAGATATTACCTTAAATGATTGCTTTGGAATAGTTAATGAGAATCCTTGAACACCCAGAGAGATATTGTGTGGAAATTGTTTTTATTATATAAAGAGGTTTTAATAGTTCCTCATGGGGGGAGGACCCCACAAACAGCTAATTGTCCCTGTTAAATACAGAGAAAAGATTATAGAAAAGGCACCCAGAGATATGTTTGGGGTATGCATGGGCATCTCTCACTCCAAGCAAAGAGTGGCACAGAACTTTTGTTGGCCAGGGATGGGGAAGCAAGTTGGGCAGTATTGTCAAAGCTGTGATACTTGCCAGAGACGAGGCACTGAAAATGACAAGACAAGGGCTAAGTTATGCCCATTGCCAGTGATCTCAACCCCTTTCCAACATGTGGCTCTGCAAAAGTCCTTAGAGATAGCAGAGCAGAGCTTGGGGGGTGCTCAAGAAAAGAAGAAAAGCTGGCATGATAAAGAGGCCTGGGAAAGAACATTCTGTCCTGAGGATGAGGTACTGATGCTGAGGTCCATAAAGGGGAGTGAATTGCAGTTGGCATGGTCAGGACCTGTGGATTTGTTGCAGTGGTACTGGAGGGCTGAGGAGAGTAATATTGGGAAGGCGCCACTGAAGCACTGAAAATCCTGCAAGGCAAGCCCCTACCTGAGAAACCAGAGATTAATGAGAGAGAACCAGATGATGAAAATCTCAATGAGTCTGAAATCAACCAGGTGACTCAGGAAAGTGGTCCCCCTCATATGAATTGCTTTGTAATAAAAGTACCTGTGGTTGAGTTATGGATGAGGGTAAAGACAAGAGCAATAATTTTCAAAGACAAATGCAGCCATAGCTGTTCTGGGGGAGTGTAAGAAACTGCCTTCACTTCCCACAGTTGAGAAAATGAAGCCACTAATAAAAAAGAAAACAGGCTTCACCCGAAAGAGGCGAGCTGAGGACAGCCAATGGATGTCAGAGTGCCAGGTAGCCTTCAATAGTCTGATGAGAGCACAGACTTCAGGACCTGTCCTTGTTGCACCGGACTTCGTGAGTTCATCATCTGCATGGATGCGTTGAACATGGGACTGGGACCCATGCTGTGCCAAGCAGACGACAGCAGGAGTCTACACCCAGTGACTTTTATCAGCAGGAGACTCTAACCTGGTGAGAAACATTTGTCTACCAAGGAGAGGAGACTCTAACCTGGTGAGAAACATTTGTCTGCCATTAAGAGGGCATGCCTAGCTATCGTATGGATGTTGCAAAAGCTGAAGGCCTACATTTAGGGGAGGAAATTTGTCCTCTGGGCCGACCATTCCCCTTTAGTGTGTCTACAAACTATGAAATCCAATAACGGCAAACATGCTAGATGGATACTGATTCTGCAACACTTTGACTCTAACCTGGTGAGAAACATTTGTCTGCCATTAAGAGGGCATGCCTAGCTATCGTATGGATGTTGCAAAAGCTGAAGGCCTACATTTAGGGGAGGAAATTTGTCCTCTGGGCCGACCATTCCCCTTTAGTGTGTCTACAAACTATGAAATCCAATAACGGCAAACATGCTAGATGGATACTGATTCTGCAACACTTTGACTCTGAAAAACGCAGCGTAAAAGGGACCCAGAATGTGGTTGCTGACACCCTGTCTCGAAGGCCAAATGACTAATGGGTGGATAAAAGTTTGTAATATTGTATTAAATGTTCTGTTTGTGTAATAGCTATGGAATATAATTAAAGTGCAGAGTTGGCTTGGATGTTGATGAGAGGTATATAGTGATGGTAAAAATAATGGTGATTATCTTTATTAATGTAAAAGTAATGCAATGTAATTTGTATTAATATAAGTAATGCAAGAGGTTAATAGGTCTTTATTGATGAAAGAGTAATGTAATGTATCCTTAGTGATGTAAATAATGTAAGAGGTTAGTGTTTAGATTCTTCCCTAAACCTTTGTTTGTTTATGAGGGCAAACAATTATGTTTCCCCTCCTAAAACAAACTTTTTAAGGAGGGAGGAATGTGGCATCTGCCCAGGTCATGAATATTCATATGCTATCTGCATAGACCAATGGGAATGCTGGAGGGGTGGAGTCATGAGATATAAGAGACTCAGCAGGAGAAGGGAAAGTTAGATAGAGAGATACAGAGGGAGTTTGAGATTAGTTGAGAAAGTTTTGGGAGTTTGGGCAGGAGAGTGGTGGATGAGAATGGATAAAGGAGAATGTTTGTTTAAGAGTTAACAACATTGTTCTGTCAACATCTGTAAAAAAACAATTTCTATTTGATTCTTTTAAAATGACTTATGGCTTGGCCCTTGATCATTAATAATAGATAATGTTGATGTACTAAACTGGTGGAAGCTAAATGACACGTAGCGGGAGCTCTTAGTTTGGTGAAACAAGCAGGGGCCACATGGAATTGTGACAATCGTTTAAATGATTTTTGGAGTATTTTACTTTGCATTTTTAAATTATAAAAATATATTTTGAATAAAGATTATGCTATGCTGACAGCATTCAGGTCATTAAACAAGCTGCAAAATGTTCATAATATGATAGTGATGAATTTTATTCATTTTAATTTGTAGAAAATTTAATTTAATCTAATTCAATCACTGTATTTCTGTATATCAAAATATATAATTGCCCAACAGCATTATCCTATGAATGTTTGCTCACTGGTTATGTGTAAGTACTGTCCCCCAAATTACAGTGCAGAATCTGCTAAAATAGCAACAATTATGTTCAAGTTTTTTATTCTTTATTCTCAGGTGACCATAATAACTTACTGCAGTCTTGATAAGCAAATAGAAATGTTTTTATTTCCTGTGATATCATTTTAAGTACTGAGAAAGTCATTATGAAAGTTTAGTCCAAAAATAATACTGTAAGAAAAATGGATGAAACAGACTGATTGACTGCTGAGAAGAAAATTCAAAATTTAGTCAACTACTATTATTTGCATACTGATAATAAATGTTTAAATGTGACAACACTTGTGATGAAGTAACAAGAAAGCAGATCATCATGTTGGTCATCTCATGGCAGCCATAATGTTAAAAGGGGTTCCCCTAGATCCCTTTCAAAAACTGCTATTACACAGGCTGCACTTGAGTTCCCCAGAAAAGTGATTAATTCTGGTGATGTATATTTTTTACAGGTTGATACATTGATACAAATCCTTTAAGAGTTGTCAAATTCATTTACCCAGAACTAGTGGAGTTTTAAAATATTTTTATTTTGACTTCAGAGCAAGAACATTGTCACTTGTCACTCCTATTTTTAATGAATTCGTTTAAAAACCTTTAACTGAAAAGCTGATGAGCCGTGGGTAACTCTTGCCTATTTGCGTAATACTTTTACTGATAAACTTTAATGTAAAGTTGTATTCTCTTTGTGTCTCAATTTCTACTTCCAGCCTCTCACTCCCTTTCAAGTTGGTTTCCTGAATGCAGTTGGAGATTTGCTTGACCTCATTCCTGTCTTATTATCAGATTCAGCAAATGCAGACTGTAATGTTATGCCAGTAGGCTCTGGGCGATATCAGTGGGATATGGGTCACTGCTCAGCTCTGATAAAGGTAAGCAAAGAGTGTTCTTGTTTCACGATTAGGACTAAAGGATCAAAGTATTCTATTCCTCATTTGACTTGTAGATCTTCACATGTAATTGTGTTTTGAGATTTGCTAAACCCTACTATTAATGTTGTTGTTTCAACTCCTATATCACCCCATAGTGCGAGAGCACTCTCTGAACAGTTTGAAGGGTAATTATGCAAAGAACATTTTGTTCCTCAATGAACTGGATACTCTTTTTACCAATATTGGAAGGATGGAAGATTGAGTCAGCTTTGAGCCAGCCAGCCTCCTGAACCCATCAGGATCAAACTCAGGTTGTGAGCAGAGGCTTGACTGAAGTACTGCAGTTTAACTACTGTGCCACTGGGCTCAGTTACTATTACTATTAATACATAATATAACCTTGCTATTAATCTCATTCAGTTGGTTATAAAATACTTTATTAATATAACAAATAGCAATATCTTTCTCTTTCCTAGGTCCTTCCTGGATATGAGAATATCTACTTTGCTCATTCTAGCTGGTTCACATATGCTGCTACTTTGAGAATATATAAGCACTGGGATTTTAGAATCGATGATCCACAAACAAGCACAGGACGTGTCTCCTTCAGTAGTTACCCAGGTAGCCTAAGTAAATGAAAGAAATGCCACTTATGTTTACTATTGTTTTGTCTTTCAGCTGACCAGAAGCACTTCTCTCTTATCTGGATTAAGCTTCATTTCTTGTCTGGATTAAGCTTCAGTTTATTTGTCCTTATCCAGTCCATTACTGACACCAGTAACTATAGTGGACCCATTTGACTGAAAGGAACAGACTCACTAAATCCCATTTGATTCAATTGACTTGTTTGGTGCAATTTATTGTGCTAGGCAATAGGATTGTGGCCATTAAGATACAGGGCACTTCCAACTGGACTGGAAGATTTCCTTCTCTCATTCCCCTCATTGGGTTGCACAGGAGCACGAGGCTTACTTGGATTCAGACTGCAGTTTTAGAAGTCACTTTTCTGGAAACAACTTCGGCCCAAAGAAAATTTCATAAAAGCTTTCCAATCCTTTTTAAATGATTCATAAATATTTTTAAAGACCAACTCACCATCAATGCTTCTCTTTTGGAGCTTTTGTTTGTTTTAATTTTATACCAAATTAAAAGCTTGTGCAATGAATGCACCTACTTCCAGTCCATTAGTTCCAAATAACATCTTGAGGACAAGATGGTTGGACAGTGGCATCGAAGCGACCAACATGAATTTGACCAAACTCCGGGAGGCAGTGGAAGATAGGAGGACTTGGTGTGCTCTGATTCATGGGGTCACGAAGAGTTGGACACGATTTAATGACTAAACAACAACAAACAACTTGAATTATTTTTTTAAAATTATGGGGAAAACAATTCCCAGTTGACAATTCCATACTAGGACTTCTCCTCTGGAGCTGTTTATTGTTTATTTTGTTTGCACTTTAATAAATACATTGAAACCACCTGACCAGTAAACTGCCATATTGCTAACCTCTGCTACTACAACAAGATGAGACAAAAAGAACTATTCCTTGCAAGAGGGTGAAACATCATAGTGAGTTGTGGGCACATTGTCAGGTTTTTCTAAATGCTGAAATGGAGATACACCTTGTCTCATCTGGAAAATGGCAGAGGGGGATGTATAATCCCGAAACAAATCTTCTGTCAGACACATCTCGTAACTGACTTACTTCAGTTTAACGTGGGTCAGTGGGTGGGTAGGAGACATTTCATTAAGATTCCAGTCTGGAGCTGGATTTCAGAACGTAGACAAAGTAAACTCTAGTAACTTAAATTCAAGGGCATGCAAAGCAAAGAAAGTTATGTAATCCAAATAAACTGTTGCTTTTTACTAAGAAGAGCTTGAGGAAGATTATACAAATGGTTATAGATTTGGACTGCTAGAAAGTACATGGTTCTCCAGATGGTTAATTCTGTTCTTTGCCCACTGAACCAGTGCCAAGAAGTACTCTGTCCTCCTTCTCTGAGGAAGAAGAGGAACATGTCAACTTTTCCCTAGCCTACATAGTGTTAGCATATGATCTTGATACCAACCCAAGTGATACTCGGTATCAGAAGAAGTATTTGAGTCACAAGAAATACTGGTTTCTGTATATACCAGCCTGGTTTTTCAAATTTGTTGCACAGGTTTCAGATGCAAACCACAGTAAATCAACCATAAAGTTAATAATATTTTTGTTGGGTTCTGCCTTGTTGAGAGACAAGAGAGGTTGGGCCTATGATGAGGAAGGAGTAGGTCTCTGAACTAATGTGATCCTTAACAATTGCCAGTTGGCAATGTGTTCTTATGGTGCAGCTTAAATATGCCGCAAAAGGGGGGGACATCTATCACTAAAAAATAGAGGACAAAAGGCGCACTGATTGGCATAAAATTCTATATGCAAATTTATATGTATAAGTGCAAAATTAGAGACGTTTGTGTAACCTATACAGAAATATAGTGCTTTACACTATAGTGGCAATATAGTGACCAGATAACCTGTGTGCCTTCTGAGCCTGCTGTCCAGGGGCTCACTTTGGATGGGTAAATTCAAGGTCTTTGATCTTCCTTCCTATAGTTCTTTACCTTTAAATTAGATTTGGATGGCAAAGCCATATCCTCTTCAAATAGAGGATACCTTCAAAAGTAGGATTATTCTGTGGCAGTTCTCATCTGGCAGTATGGAGGGCTGAGAGACCGATTTAAACTATACAGCAGATAACCTGTGTGCCTTCTGAGCCTGCTGTCCAGGGGCTCACTTTGGATGGGTAAATTCAAGGTCTTTGATCTTCCTTCCTATAGTTCTTTACCTTTAAATTAGATTTGGATGGCAAAGCCATATCCTCTTCAAATAGAAGATATCTTCAAAAGTAGGATTATTCTGTGGTAGTTCTCATCTGGCAGTAGGGAGGGCTGAGAGACCGATTTAAACTATAGTGTGGGAAGGTGGAGCTAGGCCTTCTACTCTCTGCAGGATCAACTCTTGTAGATGCACAGAAATACTGTACAGAGGTGAGGGGGAAATGTTGCATAGTTTTAAATTTCTGGCAATGTTTTCTTTTTGTTACATAATAGAAGTACAGTACAGAGATCCATGGAGGAGAATAGCTACAGGCCCTCCCCTTTCTCATTAACTGTCACTCAAAGTCCAGTAATTTATTTTCATAGGTGTATAGGAGAAAGAATAGAAAACATTTCTTTACTTAGAGTTGCTTGAAATTACAGGCTTGTGTATTCTGCTTTCTTTATTGTGCATATACTTCGCAACCAAGTAACCAGATCAACAGCAATAACTGCCAGCAGCTGAGGAAAGAGAGAGAGAAAAACACTTAGCAGAGAGGAAGTGCTCTCTTTGAGTTCAAAGGCTGGAAGGAATATTGGTTAGTGCTGGATTGACAATCACTTCAGTCCAGAAAAGTCTCTCCCAGTCACACAAACTATAGACAGCATGTGAGGCTGCAAATAAAATTCCAATGGGAAACACTTTCGCCCTCTCACCTTAATTAAGCTTTCTTCTTCCTCACCTTCATAAGTGTTACATACATACAGGAGCTGAACACATTAGTTTTTCTTGAATAAAAGAAATATTGTAATCTAATCCTGGGACTCTCAGAGATTGAAAGCAAATCATTGCCCTTAAAAGCAAGTTGCTTGACTAATGTTTTTAAATCTATAATGTATTCTGTTTAATCAGTTAAATAGCATTTCCCCCCTTTTGATCAAGGAAGTTTGTAATACTGTCTTCCCGTGGAGGTTGTGAAATTTAGCCCCAGTGCTGGGATGCTCAGCGGAGCAGGTATTCCTTTCAAAGAGGGCATGCCACTTAATCCTACAAAAAGAACTGCATAAGAGAAGTGGACATCTAGGTGCTCTGTCTTCATATACTGCTCTATCATTCTGGTTCCTATAAATCTTGGCTAGGCATCACTGAAATGTGGTTACAGAAAAGAAAGAAAAGGGAGGGATGGGATGGCCTATGATGACTCCTGATAGTAAGTAAGACATTGGCAACATTTATTTGTGCACCAGGTTGCCATTGCTAGAATTAGAACTTGACTCTCCTTGTCTGCATTATATGCCCTTGGCTTTTATCTGCATACGTCTTGGGTTATAGATTCTCATATTTGAGAGACCCTTTGTAATCTGTGAAGCATATATAAATGCTTACCCACAGAAGCCAGCTATAGTTTGTTGTCAACCCTAGATTAACTATTAAGCAAGATCGGAACATGTTTAGGGCATCAACAAAGGAAGGGGGCACATAAGAGTTTTTTTTAGTGCCAGATTTACCATGGACCATGGTGCAAATGGTGCACCCTCCTTAACAAACCACATCTAGCCATCCAAATCCCTCAGCTCCCTCCCTCCCTTCCTCAAGAGCCCCAAGAAAACCACCTCCCTATATAAAGCAACTGAGTTCTGGAGGGGTGGAGTCACGAGGTATGAGAAACTCAGCAGGAGTAGTAGTAGTTTAGAGATAGGGTTTTGAGAGAGAGAGAGATTGAGAGAGAGTGTAGGAGTTTGGGCGGGAGAGTGGTGGTTGAGAAGGATAAAGGAGAATGTTTAAGAGTTAAATGTACAGTGGTGCCTTGCTTCACGAGCGCTTCATTTAACGATGAATTCGCTTAGCGATGACTTTTACGGAGCATTTTTGCGCTCCGTTTAACGATGGTCCCTATGGGCAATTTTTGCTTAGCGATGTTCGGACCATGCTTCGCATAACAGTTAAATTTTTGGGTCCCCTGTTTTGCTTAACGATGGTTTAAACAGCCTCATGTTTGCTGTTTTTTAAATGTTATAAAGTTAAAGTTTACTGTTTAAAATGTTTTAAATCATAAAGTGCACTTAATAAACCCGTTGTAAACCAAATTTGACTTTGTTCTGACTCTTTTTTAATTTGTTGTTGAATTTTTTTCCCCCATTGAGATGGATTGAATAGGTTTCAATGCATTTCAATTGGGGAACTGCGTTTCGCTTAGCGATTTTTCCTATGGCGATTTTCGCTTAAGGACGGCAATTCATTCCTATTGGAACGGATTATCCGGTTTTCAATGCATTTCAATGGGAAACCGCGTTTCGCTTAGCGATGTTTTCATTTAGCGACAAATTTTTTGGAGCCATTTAAAATCATTAAGAGAGGCACCACTGTATTTGCAAAGGCTTTCACGGCTGGGATCTAAAGGTTGTTGTGGGTTTTTCGGGTTCTTTGGCCGTGTTCTTCCTAACATTTCACCAGTCTCTGTGGCCGGCATCTTCAGAGGACAGGAGTAGCATGCTGTGCTCGGGAGTTAACATTGCTTATTCTGCCAACATCTGTAATAATGAACAATTTCTATTTGGTTCTTTAGAAAATTCATGTTTTAAGTTGAATGATTAATCATCATTAGGAATGGGCATGGCTTAAGTTGTGCTGCATCATACTGCTTGTGCCATACAGCACCACAGCTGCCGCACGTTCCCTCCGACCAAATCCCCTGTCCGGCTGCCTGACTCACAAGCCTCTATGCCACCTGGGTCATCCTTTGTTGCTAGCTGCTCAGTCCAGGAAGGAGCTTGGGCTGCCTTTTCCTGCCTCCTCTGGCAGCCAACCACTCAGGCAAGGAGGAGGGACAGGGAGCCTCCCTGCACAGCCATTGAGTGGTCAGCTTGTAAGTGGAGCAGCTGGCTTGGGGGGGATCGGAGGGAACGTGTGACAGCTGCTGCACTGCACTAGCATGAGTTGTATAATGTGGCATTACTTAAGTTGTGCTCATCTCTAATCATGATCATTGCTTGGTGGTTTTTTTAAAAAATTCCTTCTGTATTTTTGGAGGCTGGGTGGAGATAAGGATAAAAAGAGCTGTGGGCCTTTTAGACCCATAGCCTCTGCACTATATGTGCAAGCCGAAGAAATAACAGACACAATTACAAATGCCTGAAAAGGTCTTTAAGCTCTTGTTTGAGCTTTTCAGTTTACAGATTCTGACAAAATCAAAGCATGAAAGTGCAAGATTTAGCTGGAAGCCAGTAATTTGATTGTACATATGATTTTGCATACAATATATGGTTCTTTTTTGCCACGTGCTATACAATGAAATTACTGTATTTTCATGCATATAATGTTCATATTATATATACGAACATTATATTTCAAGCCGTTGGACCTGCCACATGTTTTATTCATAGAGGCACCATAATCTTTTCAGTCCTAAAGGTCTTAATCTGGCCCTGTTTGTTGCAAAACAACAACAAATAGTCTTGTGACACCTTAAAAAACAAGTATTATTTGCTATAATATTTCATTAACGGTAGCCCAGTTTATCAGGTCAGACATACAAGTGTATATGTTTATATGGCAGTGAAAGCTTCTAAGTTACTTCTCAGTATAGTGTAGTGGATAGAGTGACAGACTAGGACTCTGAATAACAGGGTTTGAATCCTCACTTCCACTGGGGGAGTGGAAGTGGTACTGTATAAACCACTCCTTAAATATCTCACTTACAGTGAAATCCCTATGTTAGTTGGTTCCAACTTGACGGCACAGAACACACACATTCGTACACACACGCACGCACACACAAGGTTATACGTGCACAAAATGTATTGAGTTATGTGAGATAAATTAGAGGGAAGAGCTGGTTACAATAAGAAGGAAAAAGAAACAGAAAAGGAAGGGGGGAGAAAGAGGAGAGAGGAGGGGCAGCAAAAATGTGTGTAACAAGAGATTCTATTGTTGTAGGGTTCTAACAGGACATTTTTCGTGATATTCAACTGAAATGTGGCTTCCTGTAATTTAGACACATTGTTGTGTGCCCTGCACTCTGGAATAATTTACATAAATCTGACCTTGGTCTACAGCACTACATCCTTCTTAAGAATCTTTTTTTTTCTTTCAAGGCAGTCCTTCTGAGTTTCAGTCTTCTGATATTTTTAGCTGCAGTCTCCATTCTGGTTAATCACAGAAATAGGCCTCTTCCAACTCCAGTATTCTATCAGGCCATCAAGTCCAATCCCTTTCTCAGTGCAGGATTGAATGAAACAAGTACAGAAAGATATCCTAGTTCTTTCAGTAAAAATATTGGTTCCTTCAATTAGCTAATTCATTAATGGTAATTATTTTTTGTATTTTTGTAAATAAGAATTTTATTTTTAATGCTCAATTGTAGTCTTGTATTTATGTTTGATCAGTAATCATTTCAGATTATTTATATTTTCTGCCATGTGGTATCATCTGTATATGTTAAATATTTCCCCCCTCCAATGATCACTATTCCTTCATCTGATTCTAATCTGATTTTCTTAAAGATAATGTTGTGCATGTAAATTGAACAGGTAGGGAGATGCAGTATGCCCTTGTCTAATATCTCTGCCATTTGGAAACTATTCTGTTTCTCCTTATTCTGTACTAAATGTAGCCTCTTGTTTAGAGTATGGGCTACATGTCATACGTTGTTATGTATGTTTCCAAAGGGAACCAGTGTGCTCAGTGTGTTCCCATGGGAAAAAATCATAGGCTAGGCAAAGCATTTCTGAGAACTTCATAGAGAGGCAAAGGGGAATCAATTAAGAAAATTAACTTCTTTATTAGGGTTACTGTCTCTGTCTGCTTGCCATGGTTTGCCTCCTCCATGCCGTAAAGAGCCATCCTAAGTCATAGAATGTATGGATAATTTTATTTAATCACAACTGAGAAAATGAAACATCCTATAGGAATATCCTCCTACTTCTTATTTTAACAGTGAAATAAAATAAAGAACTAGAATAAATATTAAGTATCTATTTATGAATAATAAATGTTTTTATTTTGTATTCAGGTTTTTTAGTATCCCTGGATGATTTTTATATACTTGGGAGTGGCTTGATCATGTTGCAGACCACAAATAGTGTATACAACTATTCTCTTCTCAGACAAGTGGTTCCAGAGAGTCTCTTTGCATGGCAAAGAGTCCGCATCGCCAACATGATGGCAGACTCTGGAAAGACCTGGGCACAAATCTTTGAAAAGCAAAACTCTGGTTGGTATATTTGAAATGGAAGTCTCATTGCACATGTTTCTTCTCTCATTTTCCAATATTAATTGTCTTCAATACCCCCTTAGGTACCTATAATAACCAATATATGATCCTGGATACAAAGAAAGTCAAATTGCAAAGGAGTCTTGATAATGGAACCCTTTTTGTCATTGAGCAAATTCCTAGACTTGTGGAATATTCTGATCAGACAGATGTTCTCCGAAGAGGTAGGAATGTCTATAACAGTTCTTGAGTGGGAAGAATTAAAATTGGTTTAGGAAATATCCATAGCATAGTACGGATTCCAAATTTACATTTGTGTGAAGAAGAAAATAAGAATTTTAGTACAGGAGTTGAATGCCAGATATAAACCCATTTTGGCTTGTAGTGGTGAAATATGATACCTTAAGGTATGATGTACTAATAACTAGTTTCTTGTAATTATTTCCTTTACACAGAAACTAAGACATAACCAAGTTACTCTGCAGTTTTAACTTAGAGACAACTTCACTTCTTTAGCAGAATACATTTAAGGTTTTAGATACTGTTATAGTTACAGGTATGAGACTTCGCTAAATGGTAGAGGAGGAATTTCACATAGGTGTTGTCTCATACTCTGTTGAGGACATTGAGATAACAATGAACTATACAGAAGGAGAGTGAGCTTTATACCACAGATCAGCAGGGTGAATATTAAAAAGAAAAGTAATTGCTGCATAACTTTTAGTTAGGGAAGTGGAGAGGTGCTTTAAAAATGTAACTACAGTATAACTACTTTTCAGAATGTTAGAGCTAATTACAACTTTCCACATTTTGCACTTCTTCTGTTGAATGCTGGAACTCACTTGTACTTCAGGTTGTCCAAGTGAAACTTGCCTTTAAGACTGTTGGCCGTTGTATTCCTGCCAAGCTAAGTGCTATCACATTTCCTTCATTTCTATGTGAGTGAGAGTTCTAGAAACAGTATAGCATTTCTTTCATTTCAGCTTTTGTAATCCCCATCTTTAAGGACATTCAGGCAGGGTCCAAAATCTCTAGCTAATTTCGCTCAGTAGTATTTCCTCCTTCTGCAGGATATTGGCCTTCCTATAACATCCCTTTTCATCAAAACATCTATAATATGAGTGGATATGCTGAATATGTTCAAAAATATGGCTTAGACTTTTCCTATGAGATGGCTCCAAGAGCAAAAATCTTCCGACGGGACCAGGCGAAAGTTGTAGATGTGGAGACTATGAAGTACATCATGAGATACAACAGTATGTAACTTTTAAAACTTCCTGTATTTTTTTTTAACATATTGCCTCATCGTTTCCTCCTCCACATGAAAAAGCTTTCTGGCAATCTTTAGCACAGCTATAGGCAGTACTTGCTGACATTTTCAAGCAATATTGGAGAGATCATAAGAAGAGTTCACTGCTCATTAGTATTATATTTTTGAATATAACAGTAACAAGGGAAGGAAGTTGCTGAACTTTTAAATAACTGGGCAAAGTGTTCAGAATTCTCAGAGAGAAGAAGAAAACTTCAGCTAAAATTAGTTCTCCCTGAAGAGCTTCCTGTATCTTTAACCAAAAGGTTTAGTTCATTGTGCTTCCTGTGCCAGAAAAAAAACTGCTTTTGATGGCTTCTCTGAAATTTGCCGTTGTCAAAATACATTCACGTGAGACCCAAGCTGAATTGTTGTTGAATCCCTGTCTGGAAATATCTAATCCAGCCAAGGGTGTGTGCCTTTTGCACAACTGAGATTGCACTCTCTCCCACATTTAATACATGTCATAGAACAGCCACTTGCATTTAAACGAAGCACATGATTCATCTCTTATCCTGCCCTACAGTTCTTTAGCTTAAATGATTTCTCAACTATGAGGGCTCACTGGGTGACCCTAGGTCTCCTCTCTCTCTCTCTCTCTCTCTCTCTCATATTCCTTCCCTCAGCCCAACCTACCACACGAAGTTCTTTTGAGGTTAAAAGGCACCTGCAGGGAGAGGAATGTCCCTGAACTTTTTGAAGGAAGAGCACAATGCAAATGTAAACCAATATACAGTATATAAAAGCAGAATTTGTCCAGTGCTGGCTATGACTATCATAACTTATTTAAATACTCCTCTGACCAATTTTTTTCTGCAGACTACAAGAAAGATCCCTATGCAAGGCACAACCCCTGCAATACCATCTGCTGTAGAGCAGATTTGAACTTGAAGACTCCTGTTCCTGCTGGCTGCTATGACTCTAAGGTAAAGATTTCCAGAGAACATGGCCCACAATAGATACTTGTGAAGAGGGAGAAACATTAATTTGTTCATTCATTTGATTAGTCTGTACGTTCTCAGATGCACACTGCCTTACTTACTGGTGTGTCATTATAGGTACTTGTGATTGCTTATGCATGTAATTTCATGTGTCAGCTGCTCATCAAACTCACCAACGTATATGACTTCTGTACTGAAAAAAGAAAAGAGCTCCTCAGAAATGGACAAGGGAGTGAGAGAATCAGCCAGCCCACAAGTTGGATGTGTAGCTAAAAGTAAAGCCAGAGTTGTCGGTGGCACTTGGTTTGTCTCCATGTTGTGAAGAATGTCCATTTCAGTAGCGACTTATAAAGTATTGCAGCTTCATGCTACAGTGATTACAAACTAGTGACAATCTTAGGCTTAGCTTTCACCCCAGGGAAATTAGTAGTGACCATTCAAGTGCCAGCACAATCTTATCTATTAAACTGGATGTGAATTGCCTGGTTTCCATGAATGAGGGTGGTTGCAGAAATTGTAAAACACCTTGCTTCTGTCTTGCAGCATGGGCATTGCCCTGCCGAAGCAGTAAGGTCAGCAGAAGCAGTAAAAATAAATTAAGAACGTGCCTGCCCATGTCAGCTAATCTGCTAGCTTTGCCCTGTAGAAGTATATGTGCATTAGATATCGTCCTACTATGCAAGAATAACAGTCTGTTAAGGGAAACGCTAGCAGAGCACCTCATGCTGTGGCTTTACTGTTTCTTTCATCACTGGATAATTTTGAAAAGTTCTTCCGCCTCCCTCTTATTGCACGGAAATGCTTGAATCATTTACACAACCCATTTCCATGTGGCCTAAAGTGGAAAATTTGGACTACATTCTCTCAGATACATATATCTAATTATGTGACAACCCTCCTGACATACCATACACTAAAATCTCAAATTTATATGTTAATACTTGAAAGGTGAGGATATCTAGGCATGCATAGAATGCCTTTCTACAATTCATGCACTGCTATTGCCACCATGTTCTGACTTTTCAAGTACAGTGGTGCCTCGCTTAATGATGTTAATTGGTTCCCAAAAAAACATCGCTAAGCAAAACACCATTTCCCATAGGAATGCATTGAAAACCGGATAATCCATTCCAATGGGAACAGATTACCGTCCTTAAGCGAAAATCGCCATAGGTAACATCGCTAAGCGAAACAATGTTTCCCCCATTGGAATGCATTGAAGCCTATTCAATGCATTTCAATGGTTTTGACAGGTCTGTTTTCGCTTTTTTTAAAGTGTCTTAAAATGTTCAAAAACTGTTTTAAATGCTTGGGATCGTTAGTGCCCCTTGTAAAACCTTTGCAAACTTAATTTGGCTTTGTTCTGGCTCTTCGTTAATTTTTGGTGAATTCCCCCCCCCCGATTGGAATGCATTGAACTGTAGGTTTGACAGCTGTGGCAGCCTTGCTCATCCTTTCAGTCACTTCTGGAGTACCACTCTCTTCCCACTCAGCTAGCCACTCCAGGCAGGAGGAGGGAGGACAAGTGGCCAGCTGAGCGGGAAAAGAGTGGCACTCTGGGAGTGATTGGAAGGATGAGCGAGGCCGCTGCCTCTGCCACCAAATGCTTGAGTGGATGGTCTGGCCCCAGGGGCCAGACCCTTGTTAAATCCAGCTGTGCGAGGATATTCATATATGAATACGAATATCCCCATCTCTAGTCACCACCAACCATATAGTAAAGTGACCACCTCACCATGCAGGTATTTCTGTGATTAGCATTTAGACTGCCCTGTGTAATTTCTAAATGCTGTTGATATAATACAAAAAGCACATGAGGGCCAACTATTCATCTGATTTAAATATTGGTAATGCATTGACTTGCTTTGAGAGAAAGTGTCTTGCTTGGAAACACCCACCAGTCCCTTTGTTTGCTATAATGTTTTCTCCCTTATTCCATTACAGATAGCGGACCTCAATATGGCTGCAAAGTTTACAGCCTATGCTATCAGTGGTCCCCCCGTGGAGGAGGGCCTGCCTGTCTTCAGCTGGACCCGTTTCAACCAGACAAAGCACCAGGGCTTGCCAGATTCATATAACTTTGATTTTATCACCATGAAGCCAGTGCTATGAAACTGCCATCAGGATTTTTCTTTGTACATGTTTATTTCCGACCAAATAAACCAGCCTGGAATTCTACCTTTAGTTTCCTAACTGGTGTCATGTTGATTTGGCAACGATCTAACGTCACAAACATTATTTAACATTTTATTTATTTTAAATATTTTTACCATTCCTTTTTGCTTAAAAGGACCCAAGAAAGCTTACTGTATTTTTCCGTTTATAAGACCCCCCCACCTACTTTTCTAATCCCAAAATTAAGAAAACCTAACTTTGAGGATTCAGCCTCTGGGTTCAGAACGTCAGACATTTTGAGTCTCTGTTGAATCTGAACCAGAAGGCTCCACCTCCAACGAGACGTGTTCCAACTGGTTTGTTCAGGATCAGTTGGTGTCACTTCCCTAAGCCTCATGTTGGGAGGAAGCTAAGTCTCCTGACTATAGGAAGCTAAGCCTCGTGATTGCAGGAAACCTGTTTACAGAGGCAAGGTATGTGCCGTTTTGTTCTCTCCTCAGCTATCTCAGCTTACTTCCGTATAAAAGATGCCCCTCACTTTTTAGAGCACTTATTTTAGGAAAAAATAAGCATCATATACACGGAAAAATACATGGCATCATTAAAAGATAATATGAAAGCTAACAATAGTAAGTATACAAATATGAAAAAGGATAAAATACCGTACTAAAAAACAAAAACACATTCAAAGCAGTAAGGTACAACACTCCATTTACAAACCCCAGTTAGGTAGCCAGTCACTCAGTGAAAGCTTGCCTGAAGAAAAAGATCTTCACCTGGCTGTGAAAGCAAAGCAAAAATGGAGCCAGCCTAGCCTCCTGTGGGAAGGAGTTCCAGTGTCTGGGAGTAGAAACAGAGAAGACCTTCTTCTGTGTACCCATCAAACGCACCTGTGAAGGCGATGTGACTGAGAGAAAGGCCTCTTCTTGACTGAGAGAAAGGCCTCTTCTGATGATCTTAGCACTCAAGCAGGCTCATAAGGGAGATGTGGTCCTTTGAGATAGCTTGGGCCCAAGCCATTTAGGGCTTTATAAACCAAAACGAACACCTTGAACAGCCCGGAAACAGATTAACAGACAGCGTTGCTGATGTAAGGAAGATTATGTGATCCCTGTAACCAGCCTAGACAGTAATCTGGCTGCTGCATTTTTGACCTGCCGAAGTTTCCAGAGGCAACCCCACAAAGAGGGCATTACAATAATCCACCTTGGATGTATCTGGATTAAGTATTTGTCACTGTGGCCAGATCAGACCTCTCCAGGAAGTGGTGTAGCTGGTGCATTTGTTTTAATTGTTCAAAGGCACTTCTGGCGACTCCCAAAAACCTGGGCATCCTGGCTCAGAGACAAATCCAGTAGCACCCCCAAGCTGTCCACCTCTGTTTTCAGATGGCGTGCAACCCCATTCAGTGCAGGCTGCATCTCTGTTCCTTGATCTGCCTGACAAACTGACCTTTGTCTTGTCTGGATTACATTTCCATTTATTCATCCTCATCCAGTTCATTACTGACATTAGATACTGATCTAGAGCTGAAACAGCCTAGTTGGATTAAGATGGCAAAGAGAAAGAGAGTTGGGTGTCATCCACATACTGTTGACACCGAACCCCAAAAGTTTGGGCAACCTCTCCCAGTGGTTTCATGTAAGTGTTAAATAACATAGGAGATAAAACAGAGCCTTGAGGGGCCCTGAAAGCCAGCAGCCCAGGTGTTGAACAGGATTCTCCAAGCATCACCTGAGTTCTCTCCAGGAAGGATTGGAGCCACCGTAGAATAATACAGTGGTGCCTCGCTTAACGAGTGCCTCGCTGAGCGATGAAATCGCTTAACGAGGCACTCTGGGCCATCGCTGGAGCATTCGCTCAGCGATGGCCCCTATGGGGTTTTTTCGCTTTGCGAAGATCGCTAAGCGATTCACTTAGCGATCTTCGCATAACGAAGCCGGGGAGAACAGCTGATCGGCGGTTCCAAAATGGCCGCCGGAAGGTCTGCGCCGCATTTTCGCGCCCTGCCCTCGCTTAACGAGGGCGCAAAAATGGCGGCGCTATGAAGAAACATCGCTGAACGGTGAGTTTTCAAGCCATAGGAACGCATTGAACGAAGTTCAATGCATTTCTATGGCTTTTTTTATTCCGTTTAGCAATGTTTCGCTATAGCGAAGGTTAATCCGGAACGGATTAACCTCGCTATGCGAGGCACCACTGTACCTCCAAGTCCCATCTTAGAGAGATGGGCTAGAAGGATATCATGGTTGACTATATTGAAATCCACTGAGAGCTCCAGCAGGAACAAGAAACACACTCTCCTTGTCCAGTACCTGGCGTAGGTCATCCACTAAGGCAAACAGAGCAGTCTCTGTCTCATGACCAGGCCTGAAACCAGATTGAAATGGACCTAGATTATCCATCTCATCCAGGAACCCCTGAAGTTGAAAAGCCACAACCTGTTCTAGCACATTGTCAAGAATGCAATATTAGCTGTCATCCCCTTCTCCTCTTGCCCTCACAGTTTCCCAACATCGGGGGCTTTTCCAGGGAGTCTTCTCTTCTCATGAGATGGCCAAAGTAATAGAGCCTCAGCTTCAGGATCGGTCCTTCCAGTGAGCACTCAGGGTTGATTTCCTTCAGAATGGATAGGTTTGTTCTCCAGGCAGTCCAAGGAACTCTCAAAAGTCTCCACCAGCACAACAATTCAAAGCATCAATTCTTCGGCGATCAGCTTTCTTTATGGTCCAGTTCTCACTTCCATACACCACTACTGGAAAAACCATAGCTTTGACTATGCAGACCTTTGTCACCAAGGTGATGTCTTTGCTTTTTAAGATGCTGTCTAGGTTTGTCATCGCTTTCCTCCCAAGAAGCAAGTAATTTTGTGGCTGCTGTCACCATCTGCAGTGATCATGGAGCCCAAGAAAGTTAAATCCATTTATTTTAAATATTATATGTATGTATTTTAATGGGTCAGAGACCATAAAATAAAGATTGATTGATGGGATATAACATTAATATAAGAAAACAATATATGGGTACTGGTAATCTATCTTATCACTTTATACTGTTTTAACTGTCTTGAAATGTTTTAATTGCTTCCACTTATTTTAAATATTACATGTATGTATTTTAATGGGTCAGAGACCAAAAATAAATAAAGATTGAAGAGTAAAATCTGTCACTGCCTCCATCTCTTCCCCTTCTACTTGCCAGGAGGTGATGGGGCCAGTGGCCATGATCTTAGTTTTTTTGATGTTGAGCTTCATTGCATAATGCAATGTGCATACATTGCAAGGTGCATAGATTAATGTAATACCCATCCAGAATGTATTTCCTGATCTTCCTTGACAGGTGGATGGCAGGAGCATCTTCACTGTCCATGAAGGACAGACTTGATTCCTTCTTGGGAGGGCTGCTCATGATCCCACACACCCCAAGCCCCACCTGAAGTGTAGCACACACAACAAGAAAGACCTGGGAATTTGCTGCCTCTCTCCAATGGTCTCCTGACATGCCAAGCACATCTTCAGCTAAGGAGGACTCATCCAAAGTGCTATCCATCTTTGGTGACTTGGAATGTCTTCAGGAACCCTTTTTTTGCATTACTTTCACTTCCTCTGTTGTGAATTACACTCCATGCTGAGGATGCTGGTGAATCTGCAATGTTCCAGAAGTCAATGCTTACTGTAGTGACACTAGCTGCTCAGTGATGTGGACCAAGGACTGTGAGATGCTCTGGAAAATGAATTCCTGGCCCCCAGAGTCTGACATGGATGCCACCTGGTCCTGAGCCACCTCAGCCAGAGCCCAAGAGGCAAGGCCCTACACTTGCACACAGATGGAGCCCAAGAATTCCTTTATTGGCCCTCCTGGCTCCTTGTCCAAGGAAGGGAGGTGAGCTCAGCCACAGCGGCCCCAAGAGCAGCTGCCTTCTTAGGGGACATGGGAGATTCTCTGTACTAAAACCCCACACAGCAAAGTCAGCTCAGCCCTTAGGCAGCAGCCGTGTATATAGGCAAATAGTCCTCTGTTTGGATATGTGCATATATACACAGTAGTTATGTAGTAGGTTACTTTCAATATATAAAGGAAGAAATACATAATTTCATGTGCAACCTAAAGTACATGAAATTGTTTCAGTTTCTCCAGATTCACTATACAGTAAATGCTCTACTAAGAAAATATTACACTTAGGAAAATACTATAAAATTAACTAGATAATACTTTTATATTATCTTTCCCATCAACAGATGGGAAAACTTGACATCTGAGCATTCAGCCTGGAGGCAGGCGGTGCATCACGGTCTCTCCTAATTTGAAGAGACCCTTGTTCAGCAGGCCGAGACAAAGAGGCAGTCCTGAAAGCAGCAAAATCAGGGAGTTGGACAGGGGACAGATTGTATCTGTCTTCAGTGTGGAAGGGATTGTCACTCTCAAATTGGATGCCTTAGCCACACTAGATGCTGTTCCAAGTCCTCCATACAAAGCACGTTACCATAGTCTCTTGAGACTGAAGGATGCCTAACTAATACTTTTATAAGAAAAACATACACAACCCTAAAGAACCAAGGCTTCTTAAGGAAAATGGGAAAATCTAAAAGAAAAATCCCAATTGAAATTTAACAGTGGATGGGCAACACATTCACAACAAATTTGAAGCATAATTATTTCAAAAGTTGTCACTGATGATACTTCATCCCTTGTAAGATATTTTTAAAAATTACCACATCGATCAGTTTGAGGTGCAGTACATCAGATGCAGATTATAATCATATTTTTGGTAGTGTTTGAAACTATTTTGAAAGCTGTTCCTCCAAATTTCACTAATTACTAGATATAAATTACCAACATACTCATTCAGAATTCTTCTGAAGTATGTAAAAGATCTAGAAAATGTTTCACCAGTCTCTGTGGCTGCCATCTTCAGAGTGTAGTTTGCTTGGGAGTGGAGTATTTATGGCTGTGAGATAGGCTTTTGTCCTATTCAGTAGATGGGTGATTAGTGTGTCTGGTTGTGGGTGTATTGTTGTGCTAAGGAGAAGAGATCTGTGTTCTCCTTAGCACAACAATACACCCACAAC